ATGTGACGAGTGTGTACCAAGGTGATGACGCCTTACGACCGTCCAGGCGATGTCAAATATGGCACACATGGAATACGTCGATTGACCTACAATGACAAATTCGCCATTAGAGATGTCATGGCTCGAGTTGTGGGTTACCGGACACTTCATTCGAAACATGCTCTCTAGAAAGCTTTCATTTCAAAGATTTTATTTCGAAAGCTTTTATTTCGGCACAAACATAGCACGTAAGATGTGAAAATACAGCACGTAAAGTGATGCGAAACCATACTACTATCCAGATGTAACAACACCGCCCGCGACGTGAAGCATACGGCCCGCGGCTTCATAGCGCATAAGATGTTTGTTTTATTGCCGCTCGTGTGATTTTCTCACATTTTTAAATTATTTATAACTTGTCCGGGTAGCCAAGATATACGAGAATCGCCTCAAGCATTGTTATTTTTTTGGAGGATACCACATTAAACTACCACGTCGCAACAAAACCATAGCCCAGAATATTCATTTCAGAATCAGCATGAAGATTTGAATGATTGTGGAGATCACATCTTATATCTAATTATTTATTGGATTATACTGCAGCCCTAATGCGGGGCTATAGCAGGAGTGGATGAGTCATACAAAACTAATAAAACAGAGCAACAACAATAAAACTGAAATACAAAAGAAAACATCACTATGGTATAGTAAACACGATCTTTACCTATTTTCTAAATGGGGAATAGCGGCATCAGTGAAATTTTGTAAAGATAGTGAACGAATACTGCCCGGTAGGGAATTCCAGAGGTGTATAGTACGTGGGAAAAAACTAGATTTGAATGTGTTAGTACGAGCAAATAAAGGCTTTATGTTCAAGATGTGGGAGCTGCGGGTGCAAGGTTCTTCCATAAATGCGATGTAGATACCACCAAAGATGCCAGAAGAGGAGTTGATGACTGTATATAGTAGTTTTAAAGATTCGATGGAATAACGAGAATGTAATGGTATAATGTTCAGTGATTGTAGAACCTGTGTTGATGAGAAGTTGTGGCTGTAATTACGGCATATAAAGGGGATGGCCTTAAGTTGAACGCTATCGAGGATTTTTAGGCCACCTTGTTTGTGAGTGTTTTCAGAATGATCACGTCATATTCTCCTCTAAAGTTACTCATACATGACACATAGAAAGTTCAATATTTCAAACGGCCGGTATTAGGTGACGCCTTGTTCTTTTTCTCCCGGACTCCCTTGGCTGTGTCAACCTCCTTCACTGACCAAGCCCATGCGAGAGTAGGGTTCGCTACTGCGATTCGCTAACTGAGGTGTGTTCAAAAATGCTGGGATGCTGTCAATATGCTGTCAATATTATAACTGCTTCTATCGATTCCATGGTCACGATCATACGGAGAAGTACATCATAAACAACACATTGGTAGGCACAATTTTTTGTCGCATTTTTAAAAATGTAGCCAGTTTACATCATACCGTAATGACGCAGAGCCACAAACATATGCTCTTAGCTACGGCTATTAAAAATACATTGGTATTTAGTCCTTACTATTCCTCACAAATAGCAACAATGTCTTGCAAATACCCGCTGCAGTAGTTGACGGGTTGACCCACGAGGGTGTTTGCTTGAATTTCTTGTTGAAAAAATCGCAAAGTTTGCTTCATTTAGTCAAAATGGTTACAAATGTTTGCAGTGATTGCATACTGTACAAAACGCGCACTTGAAATGCGACTTTTCAAATAATATACGCTGGCATTCAACAGCTAAAGCAGTGTTTTTTTGCTGCACATTTTCATACGTTTCGAGATGCTGCCCTTAATTTACTTTTGCAATGAAAAAATTGGTGGCTGAGTATGTCCAACAGTAGATGTGATGCATGCTTTAAGCTTTTCGATAAGAAAACAATAAGACTATGTTAATCAGGGTTCACGCTAATACTTCAGAAATGTCTCCAGAGGCATAGTTTGTTGGTCGACCACACGGCCATAATGAATTGCGAATTAACGTAGGAGGTATACAAAAATGCGGCTGATCGCTATTTCTCGGGATCGGTAAAACACGAAAGTAAAACATTTCTTCCCAGAGTTCATTGAACGTTTATTGTGCATTGCTTCACCTCAAGGCCAAAGAAATGGATGCTACAGCAACAAACTGCAAAATCACGCGAGGAACGGCATGTAGCAGCAACTCGAAACTTCCAACGCGCACCTCACGCAGAAAGCACTCACGAAATGAGCATACGCAGGACGAGCGCAGACTAAGAAGTGGTACAGCTTGACACATAAAGCGCCCTGTAGAAACATAAAGAAAGGTGCGCGAAACGAACGCACAATCACACACAGGACAAGGGTGAACAACTGTCAAGATTCTCACGTCTATGTGTGTGAGCGCCGTGCTTCTCTCGTAAATGCGGCCGCGGCAGCGAGCGAAGTGACCTTCGTGCAACTCGCAGCACGAGTCTGATAAGCGCGCATGCAGGGGAGATCCCGCTTCGCGTGGAGGCGACGCTCTTCAAAACGCGAGAGGCGACTACCTTGAGAGCGGGCCATACGCGCGCTTGTCCGGCCATATCACTACTGATGACAAAAACTCACTGAATCTGCTAAGCTCCAAGGAGTGCTAAATGGTATCTGGTGTATATAAATGGCTTGATGTTAGTACTCCTGGCTATGCATGCACTGGGGCGCATTGGTTAGGGCCGCGCGATGCTGTACGAGAGGTCGCCGATTCGACGCCCCACGGCAGAGGATTCGCATATCGTTTCTTTTTTCAACTTTACAGTCTATTTTATATATTTTACAATGTCATATATGTAACGAAAATACGTCATTGGAGCCGTGGTGGACCTCGGCATAAAAGACTGTTAAAAAAATCGCCAGGCCTGCACAGGTAGGCGCAGCGCCGTCTAAGCGAAAGGTAGAAGAGCAGCCTTTCAGAGCCTTTTCAAAACACTAATTGGGTAACTACTGCAAGAACAATAGCTTGGCACCTGCAAGGGCATTAACAATAGGCCTTTGGGTAGTAGGCTGGCATTCGATATGTTATTTTTCTTCATTCCTCTGAGAAGCGTGGTATTTGCTAAACACATGCAAGGAATTCTGTGCCAATTGTCCATGCAGTCGCTGATGGCGATGAGGAATTATGGCTGAAGTGGGTATGCGCTACAGTTAACAGGAGAAAAAGAACAAGCTTTTGTGATGATTTGGAGCGTTGGATGGCCCACTCGTTGTGCTATTCGCATGGTGCGATGGCTGGTTGTTCTTTCGCTGTTGTAAAACGCAATATAGGTTGTATTAACGCGATTTATTTCCCGACATCAAGCCTGCCGAAGGCAAGTTTTACAACAAGTCACAAGCACCGATTTTGCTAAGTGGAAGACTACTAGGCTGGCACACAGTGGGCCCGAGTTTGAGCCCCACTGTGCCATTGGGCTAGGTCATGCCCGCCTAAAGCAAGTTTGACAACAAGTTACATGCACCCGAGTAATTAATTCGTAGAATATTGGGCTGCACCCAGCAAATCCAGGTTCAAGCCTCACTGTGTCGTTGTTTTTTTTTTTAGGGGCGAAGCTCCTTACGGCGTGGGCTGTGCGTCCCCTGTAGCCTGTATGTAGCCACCTCTAGTTTAGTTCTTGCAGTGTTCACTAGATGGCGGTACCGTCCCCTGTATGTAGCCACCTCTAGTTTAGTTCTTGCAGTGTTCACTAGATGGCGGTACCGTCTCCTGTATGTAGCCACCTCTCGTTTAGTTCTTGTAGTGTTTACTAGGTGGTGGTACTTGTAGCTGATGATGAAAAGATGCAAGTTGTTATAAACTAGAAAGCGGTACTTGTAGTTGATGAAAGACGCGAGATCTTATAAAATAGGAATTATGTCACATATGGCGCGTGCCATTGGTTGAAGGCAATCGTTCGATTTAGTGCGGCGACGTACGCTAGGGGGAGCGATGTAATAAAATCGAGTGGGCAAAATGTACAGAGGATTCATGGTTTACCAGGTTTACCTCCGGAGCTTCGCCCACTCATCATCCTTCACTTCGTGGATATGGCGGAATTTTTTTTAATTTGGCGCGATGTGGTTACGGACACCGGTGACGGGGGCGGTGGTGGGCAACAACTGGGCTTGACCCGAAAAGTGATCTCATAACAGCTTTCGCTGTAAAAAATGCTAGCGATAAAGTGCTCTGTGCAGTTTGTTTTACCGAATGTTTGTACGTCACTCTGGATCAGTGATTAGCGCGCTCAGATGTTGTCCCAAAGGTCGCGGGTCGAATTTCAGCTGCGGTTGTCTCATTTCAGTATATTTGTAGTGCTGGAGGTCTGTGTACTTTGCTATGTCATTCCACGTTAAACAACACCAGATGAACATTCCTAATGATGGTAACTGATTTTGGGGACCATAAATCCCTGATATTACTAGCATCAATACGGCCTTGTTTCGCCTCACTATAGTGCCGGTGGCATTACAATTGTGAATTTTTCGTCCCTTCTCCGGCCCCGTCCTCTAAATTCTTCGACCAGCTCCCAACTTTGCTATCTCCTTCTTTTTCTGCCACTTGCGCGTCCTATTTCTTTATCTATCTATATCCTTCCTATTATTCGTTTACATCCACGCTTCTTTCATCCCCTACAAGGCGCTTAGCCGTGTTCCGCAAGGGCTCCAAAAAATAGGGCCTTGTTTTTTCAACACCACGCATTCATTCAATCATCAAGCTGTTTCAGAAGTTGGACGGCATGAACATACACCATCATATTTCCTGTGTCATTTTGACTCGCCGATTTCAGGAGCTATCAGTCGAATACGTAAAGTAAAACAACGCGCAGCCACTATATCTCTCATGATGGAAGATCGCAAAGCCACGCTGCAGTTTGCGTTGTTGTCTAGTAGGAACACCAAAAAAAAATTGTTCCACACTATTTTATCTGGTGTACTTCAAAAAGTTTTTGTGACTCTAAGGCTATTTAGAATGATTGAAAATCAATTGTAGTAGTCATGTTTTGTGCTACGCTTACCTCCTGCGGTGGTCGTTGACGATGTGGTCGTGGTTGATGGTGTGGTCGTGGTTGCCTGTGTGGTCGTGGTTGACGGTGTGGTCATGGTTGACGATGTGTTCGATGTTGATGGTGTAGCCGTAACTGGCAGAGAATCAAGCAAAAAAAGCAGAATCAGTTAAGGGCGAAGCAAAAGTAAGAGTAGGAGTGGTTTTTATCTGCTCCCACTCAGCTCTACAAAAGTCTGGTTCACCTGATTACCGCTATTCCACGGACAGAAGTGAATTTTGTGCTGTTGGCCCTCTATACCTGAACTTTCTTTAAATGTGCAATGAATAAGTTGTTAAAATGGAAGAAGCAGGAATGTCAAAAAAGCCTGCTATTAGTAAGTGCTCCAACCGCACAGGCTAGTGTGTAACAGAAAATACGCATGCGCCTTTCCAACATATAATGCCTTTTAAAAGAACCATTGTCGGTCAGAGCATGTTTACTTTGTGAAATTACCCTGTAACAGCCCTAGCGTCAACCAGAAAGTCAATAGAAAGTGCCTCAGCTGTATCGGATACGGCAGTTGCAACAGTCTCAAAACCAAGTACTACCGGATACACCCTCAAAACCCGTGCAACGCATACCCCATCCCGCCATACAGCTTTAAAAAATCGACCTCATGAAATTCTATCATCAAATCTCGTTGTGGGCGTCTTTTTTGGTGAAGTTTAGTCAACCAATTTACAACAACGGTGGGCTCACCGACGGAGACCAGTTAACATGTTTGCGTTCCGGTTCTGAACAGTGACACGACATCGGCTGTAGCCGGATTTCCAGCAACGGCAAGGTGCTATTGTGAAGCCCTGGATATTTCAAAAGAGCTCTTTGCCAAAAGCGACGTTATCCTTCAGTCTCACAAGCAGTGACCCATCGAAGTGCAACGCGTTCGGTCGTCGAATGATTTTCGAGTACTTCGAAGCCTTTAGAACACGGTTTAATCTCAGACGAGCGCCCTCAAGATTCTCGGAGTATCGGAGGACACTTACTCAGCAATGTCCCACCACATTCTTCGTAAGTCGCTTCCTCACATCATCCTCGTCTCCAACAAAACCATCGCACGCCAACGCACTGGACATCCAGTCCGGCAAAAACAGAAGAACAGAAGGCGATTATTCATTTTTACTGCACATTATTCGAACGAAAATACAGCTTCGAGAGCGAACAGTCCTGCACGTTTCTGCAAGAGAGGAGGCGTCGAAGACCCAAGTTGAAGATTTTCACATTAGGGCGACAGCCTCTTCGTGACATCGATCAACCACGGAGTGTTTGACCTCATCCATAAAACCAGTTCCGCAGATTAACGCCTGCTTTTTCTGTGACTGTACCGAGCAGTCCGACTTTCACATATGTCAAGAAGATCAGAAAAAGCACCTACTAATTTCTGGTCAGTGCTTCTGCTGTACAGTGTACAAAGTGTACAAAGTGCAGTCGACGCCATGCGGATACAATGTGCAACCCACGGGTGATGAAATCGATTACCCCTTCCCAGGGGTTACGAAACCGGCACAACTCAAGTTGATTGAAACTGAGAACTGGAAACGGCGGGTATATCTCCAGAATGCTGTTGCTTGGGCAGCCGGCGAAGGAGGCAAAACTACAGTTGGATCTTTATTTGACGGAGGCAGGCAGCGCAGCTTCGTGACGAATCAATTGGCTGAGAAGTTGCATTGTCGAGTACTTGCTCATGGGCCCTTGCGGGGGTATATTTCGGAGGACAACATGACGAGAATTCCTTCCCGCGCGTGTTTTTTACCAGGCGCTCTGTGTGTCACTGCAGCTAGAAGCCCTCGTCACGACGATCAGCCACCAATCCAATCCACGACCAATAGAGACTCCATCGGCTAGCTCGAACACGAAGGACATAAATTCTCTGACATAGGTCAAGCTGAGAGCCCAAACTCTGTTGGCATCTTTATTTACAGCGATTATTACTGGTCATTTGTCAATGAAATAATTGAGAATTGAGGAAATGGACTAAAATTTGCCGAGACTTACTTAGGATGGATGCTACATTATTGTAGCCACTCATTTTAACAAAGTCATAGTACTCAAAGCGGCAGTGAAGGACCATATATCCATTTAGAGAACGACAATCTCATGGAATACATAGGAATAATGTCCGAGAAATATGACGTTACCTGAAACAGTAAAGCAGAAGCTGGTTCAGTCGACAACATGTCAAAAATGTGGGCAGACGACAACAATACAATATGTGCCTCAATTCAGTAACACGTGTCTGCTTCGAGGTATGCATGTGATCTTGGTAATAAGTCTAAGCAGCTTCCTGGCTTCTAATTCAAACAAAAAGAAGGGCATACTAAACCGATGTAATGACGTGTGATGCGAAAACGCTAAGAAAATAATCAGGCAAAAGAGTGACAAGAAACTGCAGACGACATCTCACTTATGTTACCCACGTGGAAGGTTTTATTTTTGCTCAGTTAAATGAAAGAAGAGCCCCAGAAAACAGAATACTTCCGATATTCACACAAGAGGAGCATCCACACGTGAATTAAAGTTGAACTTTTTCTGGTAGACAGGACTCAGACGGCTTACTTGTGAAGAAAGTGGTTGGCCATCCCCACACATCTCCACCAACTCTACCAACCGTGCTACTGCTTGGTTACGACGACATACTTCGAAATCACTGCTGGAAAGTGAGTCCCAGTCAGCCTTAAACGCAAAGAGAAAAAAGGCTGACAAGGCAAAATCTTGGCCAGCTAAAACTATCGTTGGACGGGTCACTGCAACTGAACTTTTTCAAAGACTTCGGCGTGCGAAGAGTTTGTTGGAAAAAAAGTGACAATCAGGAAGACGACAATCTGTTCTGTCTTCGATTCACGCACTGCCCCAACGCACGAAGTCGGGTGTTGGTTTCTTGAAAATAAGCCCTTTTTCTCAACTAGACGCTTCATTTTCTTCAAGTGGTGCTGTAATCGCCAAACGTGATCGCCGCGGTTTCCTGTAAGAATCAGTGAACCTACTTGGGAGTGTATAGCATGTTAGAGACTTCCTAACTCTTTCACTTGCCAAAACATTCCAGGTGTATTTTAAGTGCAGAGGGTGACATGATGTTTCAAACAATTTGCATCAAAATCATTTTCACTACTGGAACGCTTTTTCAGCTTGCAAATTGTGACATTTCATTCAATATTTAGGTGAGGTATACGATGGTGCCAGTTGTGTCATTTCAAAACCAGTAACAAGGAAGCCATGCAATCAAACTTTTTATATACCACTGCCTAAAACAGCACATCGGGAGTTGATTGCGTATGGCATAGAGACACCTCGAAACGTAGTCAAGCTAGCCATTCTCTTTTCAAATCAGGCATCAGAAAATGAGACCATCGATATTACTAATCTTTGAACCGGAACCAGAAGCATGAAATAAACAGTTTACGAAAGCATCTTGTTGCTCCATGGCTGACGTAATTTATGCGCAAATAAATCCTTTGAGTGCATTATAAGGGAACTTGCCAAAATCAATTTCTGCTATAGCATTAAAAATGTTACTTTAAATTTTCTTATAATATACAAGCTAGCTTGAACGCTAGATCACATTTTTAACCAATGACAGCACACTCACTTAAAAAACACCTAATATTAGGTCAGGTAATGATGTTAGTGGCGTGTGTCAGAAAATATAAATCCAAATGGGGCGCTTCTAGAGTTGTGCCAGTGCAGAGCAACAATACTAGCGACAATATATAGTCTAGTTCTTCACCCACAGTCTTCCCTGAGCAAATTCTCAATCAAGTGACCGCACTCGTGCGGTGTCTGCTATGCGAAGATCATAAGCAATAAACCTTCCTTACGTACCTGTGCTTGACGTCGAAGAGTTCGTGCCTGCAATAGTATAAGTTGAAAAAGCATTACACTTGATTTGTTTTTTTTTTGCATCTTGGCCTTGACGTGGGACGCCACAGATATGCTAGGTGTCAAAACAGCAGTTTAGTTCCTGTCTGTCACACAGAACACCATGAAGTATACCGCTGCATTGTGGGTTCACTATAAAAAAATTATGGTTCCTAATGCTCGGCTCTAAAGGTGATCAGTTAAGAAAATGTGAAAAGGTGGTAGTTGGAGATTCGTTATAAGTCTGTACAAACAAATGATGACAAACATACGGAGCGGTGGTGGCTGTTAGCTGAATTTCTGTCTATGAACACATGTAAAAACATATTTCACATATGCCATTTCACATATGCCCATTGTGGGGAACTGTGTACTAACGCAATAGAAATGAACCAGTACATCAATGTGCGTTAATACTCGGCTTCTCAGAATTGCCTTCATCGTGCTCTGTCTTCTCTTGACGACTACAGTAAATCCTTAACTCATCTATGAATGCCTCACGAATGACTCCAGTGTAATTTTTAACGCGATAGCGTCAAAGAGCTCGCGTCGCCAAAAACAAGCCGCTGCCATCGGCCCCATTGGTTGTGAGCAAAAAGTCATCGGTGCGTCTGTGACCGAAAAATCAAGTTACCGAGATAGCCGCGGGAGGCAGCTACTTGTCCACGCGTGCACGCGCGATCGCAATAATAAAGCCGCGCATTCGAAGAAAGAAAAGTGCTCCAGGTCATGCGGCGTGGTAGTTTTTTTTTGCCCTACCATCCCTCCCTGCTTATCTTCCAGCGCCTTTGTCTGGACGAAAGAAGAGATAATGCAATTGCAGCATGAGACAATCCTTTGTAGCTCCACTCGCACAGGACGGATTCTTAACATTTTTGCGGTGTTGAATTCGTGAGGTAATAAACTCTTCTACTGAATTCATTCCATGGTTACTTGAAAAGTGTTTAAGGGCCTCTTTAACGCATTGTGTTCGACAGGTGTCACGACGAAAATCAGCCCAATCGGCAATATTAGCGCGCGCTGGTCCAATCTACTGTGTGTGTATTTGTGTGCGTGCGTGTGTATGTAACAAAACATATGAATAAGAACACACTTAGCGGTTGAAGAGTGCACTTGGGGCAAGATTTCGCTATCGCGTTCAACTCTTAAAGGCAAAGCTTACGGGTCTCCCCATTTTTCGCGAGGCCGTTCATATAAACCGCATATTTCACCATATACAGCTACATATTGTAGAACCGTGTTTGTCCCTGGCTCTTAGAATGACAGCTGGTGATAATATGTGATAACCCATTCGGCGCATTACTGATATCGCTGGCTTAAATCGGCACTTTGTTTGCCGATCCTGGTGTGCTTGCCTCTGAAATTCAGCTTTTTTTGTCATACAAAATATTTATTTGCTGACGAATATAAAAAAATGACATTGTATCTACACGTTACACTGCAAATGTCGTCGAAAGACGATAGTCTTGCGTCTGGAGAGAGTGAACAAAACGTTTATTTGATGGTTTGCGCAAGAAAATTGGCGAATGGTATTCTGGAGGCGCTGCGTTAGAGTGCCTCGAGCGTGGAGCGGACGCGAACAAGTGCATAAAGTCACGTCACACGTGACACATGAGCACTACCTGGCGGTTATCTTGGAAAAGGAAGCAAGTGGCGTGCACGCCGGTCTCGGAGGCGATAAGGTATAGAACGCAAGGCGACGGGTAGGTGACACCACTGTGTCACCTTAGCAAAGCGTTGGTAAAACTTTCCTTTTCGTGCAAGCGTTGCATCGTCAGCGCAGAGTGATAATCGCTGCGGTCCTTAGAATTACTTACGTATGTCTTTTCTAGTAAATACACAGATACAGATTATTGACGTGTTGTTATAGTGCCTCAAATATGCGCAATATTTGCGTTTTAGTTGACAATCGCACACTTATGAACGCTGAATCTTCAGCATTATTAGTGGGCGCTGCGGATGAGATCGGCTGTTTGTAGTGCCGCTTCGTGCCGTTTAGGGTATCAGTAAGGGCGGACAGACAAAAAGACCAAAATTTATGCGTCGAAGGTGCCCAAGAAAGACTATCGTCTTTCAAAACTTCAAATCGGATGTTTTTGGTTGCTGCTGTCAGGGCGCGAGTGCGACGATGCTGTCGCAGATAGGCACCGTAAATTCAGGAAGGAGCGTCAGTGCTAGGTGGCCGGAGGAGAATAAGTCAGTGCGACTCAATCACTGACATCCCCATTACGATAATGTGTGCAGTAGTATTGTATGTCGCGAAACGCCGCTGTGAGGGCACTGGACCCTTTTACTAGGTGAAAACTGATGCTGCGCACCACCGTTCACTTCTACTCCTTTCTCTGAGATCGTTAGGCATACTACAAAGACGCCTTAATTGTTACCAGCATGATCATCCCACTGAATTAACATTCAGCGTGCCATCCATTTGGTGTATTGTGTTTCATGTGGTATAGCCTAATAATATTGGAAGTAATATTAATTAAAAGTGCGTAGAGATAGGTGCGCAAGTTTTCTAAGACAAAGAACATTATAGAGAGACGTTTTTATCGGCTCGTCAGCGAGGCGGCGTTCTTCGACATTGCGACGTTCTTCGAGCTCCTGTTTGTCTTCGGCGTCATGGTGTATCCTTCCGGGGTGTGAGACTACTGTGGTCAAGTGCTGACCTTAGCTCAGCTGATTGATGTCTGTCGCGTCTCCCGGCCAGGCAAACTCGGCCTGGTCGGCATCCCTCACTAATGATAATTTGCCCCATTGATCTTATCTTGCGCAGCGGTCTCAGCAGCGCTCTGGTGGCTGTGGCCCCGGCGAGTGTTGCTTTCATTCACATGGAAAATCCATAAAGCATCCAGGAGGAGCTACGAAAAGGGGGTTAGAAAAAGGGGGTAATGATTTAGAGCACAGGGTACTCTACTACATTGGGGGGGGGGGGGGTAGAAAAAGTGGGTAACGATTTAGAGTACAAGGTACTTTACGATGGGAGAGCTTACATTGGGGGGGGGGGGGGGGGGTTAGAAAAAAGGGTAACGATTTAGAGCAGAGCGTACTCTACGGAAGGGGACCAACCACTTTCAACTTATCACCGTGATGCGACAGTTTCGTAGTGGAGGTATTCTGTACTCTTCCTCAGATCAGGCCTGTATATCAGATCTGCTTCAAAATTGGAGCATTGGGTAAATGTTACATCTCAAATAATGAATTTAGAAAGTGAAATTTTAACATTAGAGAGCTCTCTTTCGGGATACCTTCCCTTTTTGTTCGTAAACGCTTATTTTCCGTTGGATGTTAGAAATTCTACTGTTTTATACACCGTTATTTTGTCCGCCAGAAAAGACACCCTAATGAAGGGAGACTTCAATTTTCATCACACTTCGTGGGAATTCAGAACAGATATTAGTGGAAAGCCATTGGGAGATTTTGTTGTTAAACATTTTTTAACATTCATTAACCAGTGAATCCACAAGATTATGTGCAATCAGTCTCATTCTGCGATTGATAATACTGTTTGTAGTTCTAGCCTCTGTATTTCTACATGGTCCACTTTGAACTCGGGTACAAATACCGACAATTTTCCTATATTGTTTGAGCTTGTATGTGCCGTCACTTTAGTAATCAGGCAACCCACTTTTCACATTTTCTGACTAACACTTGCAAATCCAATACTCATTCATTGGAAAGTTTGCAGAGTCAGGCACTGCGTATCTGCCTAGGACTGCCCCGATGCGCTTCTATTTATGCCACAATCATGCTTGCCAAAGACCATCCAGTCAGGACATATAGAGTTGTGGATTGCCTCAGAGCGCACATTCAACATGCTAGCCGTGTCCCCGACCAACACTTGGCCCTTCTACCCTCCAGAAGACCACGTGATACGTTTTCAGACGTCATATCCAAGCACCTAAACAGCAATCCATCAGGATATACGCCAGCTGCGAAAATGGCATGTCCTTTGTGGTGCCTCGACCAGCCGCAAGTACGTCTAGAAATTCCCGGAATCAAAAAGAAAAGCAGTCACTCCAGAGTAGCATTGAAGCAAGCAACACTGCTATTATTACATGAGTTGTACTTAGACCGAACGCAGATATACACTGATGGGTCCGTCTCATCCAGCAGCTCATCAGGTGCCGCTGTAATTCCGGCTGCAGAAATGACAATCAAGTTTAAGTTGTCGCATATGACTACATCTACGGCAGCAGAGCTTGCTGCTATAAGGGCTGCTTTACAATATTTAGTTCAAGAACGTCCAGAAAAATGGGTCATATTCTGTGATTTGAAGGCAGCGCTTCAGGGTTTGCAGTCTGCCATGCGTAGGAGGAGTCATGACCAACTGGTACAAGAAATAAGACATTGCCATCATGAAGCTCTAGCACGAGGGCATGATATTATTTATCAATGGCTGCCTGGACTTATCGGTATTACCGAAAATCAATTAGCCGATGATGCAGCCCGCTCAGCCCATGAAGAAACCCGTGTAGTCCCGATTCCTCTATCAAGGAATGATGCAGCAAGACAACTTTACCTGCTGGCTCGAGATCTCACACGCACGTTCTGGTCGTCTACCAGCTTCCAAAGGTGTCAATTTTATGAACTGGATCCTTCGCTCAAGCTAAAACTACCATCACAACTTTCCCGTTCCGATGCGACACTGTTATGCCGCCTTTGGTTGGGTGTTGCATTCAAAAAGGTGTACTCCTTTCGCATTGGTATGGCAGACACTCCTACATGCGACTACTGCGGAGCTGAAGAGACCATCGAACACGTCCTGTGCAGCTGCGCTTGCTACGACACACAGCGATGCCAGCTACGGATGGTTTTGAATCGACTTGACCCCGGACCATTTTGTGTGCAGAAGATACTAGGACCTTGGGCATCTGCCTCAGTTGCGCAGAAAGCAACTAAAGCACTGCTACTTTACCTTAAGTCAACAAACCTGAGCGACCGCCTGTAAACTGTGCGTGCTCCCCGAGTGTGCTCGTGATTGTGTGTACCTTCCCATCTTTCTGCAACCTCTTTTCTCCCCTTTATTCCTTCCCCAGTGCAGGGTAGCAAACCGGATGTGCATCTGGTTAACCTCCCTGCCTTTCCTTGCATCTTTATCTCTCTCTCTCTCTCTCTCTCTCTCTCTCTCTCTCAATTCAATTGAACAGACACTACGCATGGCTTCGTCAATGCGAACCGAGGAAAATGAAAAGCGGAGTGTTATCAACTTCAATGATGTTATAAAACAATTTTTAAATAAAGCTAAATTCAGAGTTCATGTCTCTAAAGAACGTCCTTTGAATCATTGTTGGAACTCTGATAGTTCACGTCATTACAGGCTAAGAAAAGCGGCGTGGCGAAAACTCCTCTATAATTAGTGCCCTAGAAACTGGAGCGATTATAAATACGCGGCTGCAGTTTTTAAGCGGACAGTTGCCGCTGCGAAGGATAACGATAATAGCCACCGTTGCGAGTTCCTTTCAATGCCTGGTCAAAGGAAATCATTTTTCAGCTTCTTAAAGCAAGAAAAGTAATCTCAGCATCAACAAACCTCGAATCGATGGTCTCAACGCCAAGTGAGTTGCCTACTTTTCTAGAAAATATTGCTCAAAGACCGGAAAGCCGCTTCACGGCTGCTTACGTTTACCGCTCGCCATGCCCTGTTTTGAAGAGGTTACAGCGTCGGAAATAACACAATTAGTGAAAACATTGCCAAATTCTGCTCCAGGTCCTGAGAGAATAACTGCATCGGTAATAAAAATAATCCATAAAGTACCACCTACATCACCTCAATATTTACTTGCAAGAGTTAACCACTCCATTAGACTTCATGGATTCCGCCTGGGTTGAGAATCGCGAAAATAATTCCTTTATTAAAAAAACATGAACCTGGTTTTACTTTGAATAACATTAGGCCTATTTTATTCACATAAAGCCTGGTAAAACTAATCGAAAGAATTCCGCACATTAGGATAGACAACTGGTTTGACGAAAACACAATTTTAAGCCCACGCCATATTGTATTCAGGCGTGGCTGCTCCATTTGGTGTGCCCATGTTGATTTGGAAAGCCGGATACAACTAGCTCGTTCTAAGAAACAGGATGCCGCCTTAGTAACTTTAGATATTGCAAAAGCTTATGACAGTGTGATACACATTAAACTAATAAATTCGCTAACGCACGTTCATTTACCAAATAACTTCGTGGCATAGGTTTACTCCTTTCTAATAGATAAAGAATTTTATTGCTCTTAATATGGCGTGTCGTTTTCAAAGTATAAACAAACTAGAGGTCTCCCCCAAGGTTCGGTACTGTCTTCATTATTATTTATTATTTTATTGTGCACAATTCTGTAAAACAATATGTACAGGTGTATGTATGCGCTGACGACATCGCATTTTTTGCTACAGTTGCAGATATGCATACAATATATCAGATGCTACAGTTTTATATGAACGCTCTGGACACCTAGTTAGACGACACTAATCTATTATAAACATCAGAAAAAGTGCAATCGTAATTTTTTAGATAAGATTTTCACTGCAGCATTCCGTACTTTACAGACATGTAAGAATTGATCTCGCAGGTGAAATCGAATAATATAGGAGTGACTTATACTAAAAACCTCAATTGAAGTCCGCATATTGAAAATATGGCAGCTAAAGGATCATGGACGATTGGGATGCTTCGTATACTCAGCAATAAACATGCTTGTTTACGTCGTGATGTGCTCGTCATAATATATTGTACGTATATTCGCTAAATATTAGAGTTTCGCTGTGTCTTATTTTCTGGAGCACCTGCCTACAAAATTAGACCAGTGGTACCACTAGAATGGAAAGCGTTACGTATGTCTCGGGCTTCCTAAATTTGTCGCAATTATTATTTTATATAAGGAAGCGCGCCTGTCTTCTCTTTGTGCTTGGTTCCAAATACTAGCAGTTAGTACTTTCCTAAAGTTATATGCATCCGTACAGATTAGGTCGCAATATGTTTCCATTAAGGAGCCATGGAGCCAACGTCCTTATTTAACCAACAGTGGTCTAGAATAAGGCGTCCACAAGTCATCATCGTAGAGAAGCTCTTAAAAGCATCACAGTTAACCTTCGTGAGGTACTGGTATTAAGAACCGCTATTCAAACAATGAAAATTAAATTTGACAATATATTTACTAATACTTGCAAAACATTTTCCCAGTAGATACATGAATGCAATTTTAAAAGTACACCTGGCAAGATTAGAAAGAAATATTGTAATAGCAACTGATTCTTCAGTTTGCGAACAGAAGGAAGGAGTCAGAATTGCATCTTTAATGTTGGATTGGTCTTTTTCAATTTGTTTACCCGATTTTATACCTAGTATTCAAGCCTAGTTACTTGCCATTCTCTTAGCATCCCGAAATTTGCGCCAATAAACAACAGATGGTATTATTCTTTTAGACTGTGTGTCTGTGCGTAGTTCATTACTGCGCCTAAAATATCCAATGCTATAAAAGTATTGTACGCCCTTGCCCCTAGACATTTACGACTGATTCGCTTGGCGGGAATACCAGCGCATAAAGGTTTAACCCTCAATGAATATGCAGACACACTCGAAATGGCCTGACATAATTATCCCATGATGTCTATATTGCCAACGCTAGCAATTATTCCCGTTGCACGCTTTGAAAAATTTGTCATATCAGATCATTTCGAAAACTTTCGCTTGGCAACATGTGATTTTCTTCATCCTAAGTACCCCTGGAAAATCGATGGTGCTCCTTCAGAATGGCGGAGATATTGATTACAAGACTACAATGCCGAGTTCCCCTCCCCCGAATTTTCATCTACACATGTCTGGTCTGGCACAGTCTCCCTATGCATTCACTGCAACGAGAGCGAATCCTTTCACCATTTCTTCCTAACATGCAGGCTATATACAAATCAAAGGAAGAGACTGTTAGAGAAACGTCTCTGTAGGTTGGCTCTCAATTTATTCTTCCGGTGGTCCTCTCCTTCGGAGCAACTGAAAAGGGATTTAACCACGGGAACATTTGCGAGGCCGTATGCGATTTTCTAAAGGCAAAAAACGAATAAAATGTTAAGCTGAGGCATAAATTTACATTATTCCAAACTATACTAGCTTGCTCTTTTTTCCCTCTCATTTCATTTCTAATCTACTGTTTACCAACTCGTTCTTTCTTTAAACATTCCTATCTAAATAACCCGGCTGGTAAAACAATTTGATCTCGCAAATGAGGCACCGTTCGTTTCATGGCCGATTCCCCGTAGTGGTTTGCGCCAGGACTTTGAGGACCGACCGACCGACCCCATGAGCAAGCAGTGACTGCTGGGGTTTGGGTAGGGGTGCGGTGGCTTGAATTTCTCTTGATGCATATTTTCTTTAATTTTAGAGGATTTTGCATTTTGTAACAATTTACCACGAACCTACAGCGGCCAGACGTTCTTATAAGGAATATTGTTATACGTGGGCTCGACTGCACATGTATTGAGTGTGAAGCGAACTGAAAAACTCACCTGGACTTTGCCCATTCACATCACCGCATCCAGGTGCCGCTTTGTAAAAAAAACACAATGAATGTTAGGTTGTACAAATACATTGCTACAATTGCCAATTAAATGTAACGTTTCTTGGTGACTAAAAATATTTGAATTTCATACAAACGTGTTTTATGTGCACAAACACAAAACAAAATACGCTGAGTGGTTATTATGAAAAAAATTTACAACAGTAACATTCACGCAGCAGTAAATGAGGATATCCCGACATCACATTGTCTGGCTTAAAGACAAGTACAGCCACACAGTTGATGACATCCTATTCTCATCGCACTTTGGCCGCGTATGCATGTACGTTAATGTATATATTATGCTAACGACGCGACCAAGACGGCTTCACGAGATTTGTATTAAGCCATTCGTGTTCTTCCTGTTATTCAACATATTATATGCGCGCTACGAACGCTCATGTCATCGAATGACATTCTTATTCTTCATACGTTGGCGTTAGTTTGCGCTACATTGATTTCCTACGAGGAAATGAAACGAACCCCATGACATTATGATGGCACCCAGTCATGTTCGTTACAAGGTACTAGGTGTGTATTTCATGATGCGCTTGTCCTAACTCACTGTTGATGTCGATCATGCACATGCGTCGCGTCATGCAAATTTATGTATCTGCCTACTTTACGAAACGACCATGGGAGCCCCAAGACACTTTTGTGCATTTAACTACGTATTTGACATTCTCAACGCAATATACTCATGTGATTCTTTGTGAATATTGCGATTAAGAAACTGCGCTAGAGTTAGTGCGAAATACCATTACGGAGATAACATGAAAAGTTTCGCTTAATAAAAGCGCTAACTATCAACTGTATTTATTGAAAAACATGATGGTAAACGGACTTCTATGAGAGGGAAAGATCGGTTTACAATGAAAATGGAGAGGTGAGAGCAGCAATCTTGCTGAACTGTCTTCATGTGCTATTCGCGGGCTGATAGTTTAAAGTTTTTTTCAATAAATTCAATTGATTGCTTGCACTTGTATTTTCCACCTCGTTTTACGTCTTCTCCTTAAGTTTGTATTTTGCATTAACTGTAACGCAGTCCCTTACTCATGAAGAACCAACACAACCGGTAGCTTGCTTTGCTCGCGTTGCTTGCTTTGCTCGCGTTGCTTGCTTTGCTGCGCTGATGTGGTGCAAGCTTTGTCACATCCGAAGTTAACGAATTGAACGCGAGAACACAAAGACTATGTCATAAATGTCCAAACTTGCGTTACGTTATGTTCATGTGATGCCTAATTAAATCTTATGCATTCCATGCATAATCATAGCCTATGAAGATATTCAAGCGACTGGGAAAGCACGCCTAAAACGTGGTTGCTTGCATTCAAACACGTGCCGGAATGGCAAGGAGGAAAACATCTAACGTAAACTATTGTCACAATGTGAAGAAGACAAATGGTAATGACGTAACAGCAAAAAGTTCGCCAGTACCTTAAACACTTTAGGCAAGTTTCAGCACCTGAAAAGTCAGTAACACTAAAAACACAATGATGTTGGCTAGCGAATAGACAGAAGCGTGAAATCCCAACCTTTTGCGTTATTGTGCGTGATTCACAAGACATTCTTGTGTTACTTTGATGCTATGGCTATAGGGAACAATTTCGTGCTGTAACATTTCTGATAACCCTTAAGCGCCTTGTGAAAAATCAAAGTTTGTCGTGAGTTGAGCGACTCTACCGTATTAATCTTTATCGTGTCAGAAATTCGCCCTGTTTCAAGGTAAATAAGTAAAGCACTTCCTAATGTGCCTAGTAATGCGCTAATTGAGCGGACATGAAGTTTGGTATGAATTATCTTAACATGTCTTGTGAAACAAAGACAGTTAGACACATCTCCCTTGCCAACAACCATAGTGATACCATGAAAACTGACCTAGATCGCAGAATGTGAGTTCATCACTACAATACAAGAATTTCGGTGCGCACACTTAACGTTATCCTCTTTTTTCCTACGCATTACATGCAGCCCACATACTGAAGGTAACAAAGTGAAACACCACAAGAAGGGCTATAAACTTATTGACCTATTATCACTACGCAATCACCTTTCCTGCTCTTGTCTATCCTGTCTATCTGTCCTAAATACACGCGCATACTTTTTCAGTGGTAAAGTGCCCAAGAAAGGTTGTTTGCTTAGCTTTGAATTACGAAACAACCCTGCCTATTTTTCAAAAACCTATTATTTAAAAAAAGTAACATTGCACTGTGCAATCACAGTGTGGTACATTGCAGCAGATTTGTCCTTCAAATGCACACGTTTTGCGTTTATTGTTGTGTTAATAATTATGACGCGAAATGTCGACCAAATCTTGGTTGTTTAAACATAGGAACCTGTAGTCGATGTTAAGCATACTCACGAGGTGGATTAGGATATTTCGAGGTACCTGCAAAACCGGCGAAAAGAAAACTACTTCAACACAGGATTCCAACGTATTCAGCGAACATTTTAATTCAGGCCAACTAAATAACATTCACTACACGTTAACTACAAAGATCGTTCAATGCACTCTTATAGCTCTGAATAGATTGTTAGGTGCCAACTTTGTTCACTAAAATATACATCTATTAACTCTTTTGTTTCTCACTTTGAGCAATCAATCATAAGCCAACTTTCTAATAACTCCTTTCGAATTGTGTATAAGACACATTGAAAATCATTCGCTGACGACATGCGCATGTGACTGTCTCGGCACATTCTGAGAACAAGCCATGGAGTCAAGCTTCATCATGGAGGAGTGGGAAACACCTCACATCCCCACTCTCACGATCACGTCACAGCTGTTGATCTAGCATGCATAGAGGCCACCAGGGCTCGGCTAAGCAGCCGCTACGTTGAACTACGTAGCGAGACAGGGAAGTTTATTGCAAACTGGTAACAACATTTCAGGTGAATACAACTGTCTGGTGTAAGAAAATCACTTCAGTGGCGTGTACAAACAAGAGAACATAGACAGGATGTAACACAGAGCACTTCCAATATTCTCAGAGATCACGAATCACTCAAGAAAACAAAGAGAAAAGAAACGCAAAAAGCAGCAAATTGGAACAGATTCACATATTACGTGCGACGACAAGCAATTTTTTTTCCGAGTTAAAATGGCAGTAAAGGAAATTCAATATTCCCATTACGAACTACAAAAAACCGTGTATGCCACCTTCTGATAAAGGCTTCTTTACCCTGAGTTTTAACCTGTTCGGTAAGGTACCGAACCATGATCATTCTAATCTTCTGTAACGCTGGGTATGCAGCTCGTTGGGGTCGTCGCCGTGCTTCAGCCATACAGCAGCGATGCCACAGGACGAACATTGTGACGTACAGTACGAGTTGTTCAAGTAAGCCCCTTCTGCGCTGTTGGCCCGAAGAAATTGACACTCTGAATTGACGACGCATGACGTGCCACACGCCTTTGGCCGCTACGCATTCGAACATCGTGTGACGGATCGTTTCCCTTTTCCCGCAGTTGGGGCAGTAGTCATTGGGAGTGACGCCCCACTTTGACAGTCTTTGACGAGTGGGCAATGCGTCCCATAGCCGCAGCTTATCGAATTCTCTCACTATTTCCGGTACGTGGTTGTTCCGCCATTTCTTCCACTTGGTGGGTCTCCATCTCTGTTTTTCCTCGTCAGTAATCGAGCGAATGATTAACATTTCGCTAATGCGTGCGGGTGCAAGCTTTGCAAAGTATTCTTCAGTGGCGTCGCCGTCAACCGAACGCTTGAGGCTCTCTGCTGTCTTATAAAAGGCATGTGGGTGGTCTTCTTGAGGTCCCCGGTACCTCTCCAAACGTGAATGCGGCTCCGAGAGTTCCGGTCCATTATAACAATAAGCTACGGCCAGGATAGTCATTGTCCTGAAACAATTTGTGAACTGTTTTAGCTGCAAGTGCCTTTGTGAATGTCGCAACATCTGGCAGACTGAGTCCTCCACAACTTTTTGGAGCTTCAGGAACGTTTGTTGAACTTTCGATGTCTTACCATCCCATAGGAAGGCTCCAACCAATGACGCAAAGCGGCTCGCAAAAGGTTTGGGTATGAGAGCAATGTGCCCAATATAAAAAGCATATGCGCATGCTTTGGGTTTCATCACCGTCACTTTGGTGTCAAGTGATAAATTGAAGTCAGTGGCATACACGAAGACCTGCGTGGCTCTATGCATGGCGTCCTTCCATTTTTTTTTTTTGGCCACCTCTCCGTCTAGAAAGTATACCCAGAAAACTTTTATGGCATCCACGTTTTGAATACCACCCGACAAAAGCCATGGAAGCCACCGAAATGAAGGGCTTTGCTTTTCTCTGCATTCAGGGAAGCACCCGATAAGCTAGCATGCTCTTCGAACAGCTGCAAGAAAGCGCGGTAACTGGCTTGGCTTTGCACAAACACAGAGATGTCATCCGCATAAGCGGTGACGCTAACTGACCCCAGACCTGTAATTGGAAAGCCCTGAATACTAGGACACTGTGCCACTTTCTTAAGGAGAGCATCTATGGAAAGAAAAAAGAGCACCGGTGCGAGTGGCCATCCCTGGCGAACACATCTTGTTACCGGTTACTGGAAAGCTTGTTGTCTCCACGCCGTTGATGAGGAGTCTGCTGGTCATCTTGGTGTATAGAAGCTTTATACAGCGGACGCACTGCTCAGGCAAACCAAACATTCTAAGCGCGCAGCATAGGTAGTCATGTTCGACCCTGTTGAAGGCCTTAGCTTGATCCAATGACACGAAAGCACCGGTAACGTTTTTGGCGTTGGCATAGTAGAACAAATCTCTTATCAGAGTAAGTGTTTGAAACATTGACCTACCCGGCACTGCACACGTTTGCGTGGGTAACACTATATCGGGCAAAAAAGGTTTTAGCCTCAAGCCGAGAATCGTAGCTACAAGTTTGTGGCTCATGTTAAGGAGGGTAATCGGCGTCGAAGACCGTGGATCGTCAGGATCCATGCCCTCCTTTGGCAGCAAGACGACACGGCCCTCACTGAAAGACCTCGGCTTTTGACCATCAACAATGAACCCGTTAACCATGTCAGTAAGTCCGTCGCTTAAAACGTCGAAGAAAATTATATAAAATCCCGTCAGTATTCCGTCTCTACCTAGATACGTGGTAGTGTTCATTTTCCTCAGGGCTTGCCAAACTTCATCTTTTCTCACCTCAGCGCAGAGCACATCAGACGCCTCAGGACACAGCGTGGGAAAGCCTTCATAAACGTCTGCGACTCTTTGGTGCTGGTTGCTGTCTTTGGAGCCATGGTCTGTAAAGTAGAGCCTTTCAGAATGCGCCCTAAAGACCTCCTCAATTGATTTGACATCTGTGACGATGCTCCCACTATCTGTTGTGCAGCACCGATAATACTGGGCTGGTGTTTCCTTACCCCTACTCGCTGTGCGTATTCCAAGTTACCTGGTTCATCTGTAGCCATCTGCAGTTTCTCTTACCAGTGGCTGCTTCTTGCGAAATCGAAAAGTGAACAGTATCGTATCGTTATTCTAATGGGCTGCTACTTGCACTCATCGAAGGCTTGGTTTTGCTGAAATTTCATTCAAATTTATTGTGTCCGCAAGGCTTACTTATGTTGGTTTTTCTTAGAGGGAGAGCAACGTGGTCACTTTGCAGGAACGACGAAAATTTTCTCATGTATAGCGCGACCGCGTGTCTCGACGAATAAAAATGTTAATTTTTCTGTTGTATTTATTTGCTTCTTTGACTTCTGTGTCTAGTCATGCTAAGATGTATCCCAACACAGAATACCATACCATTCATGCGGCGCACAGTATTGCCAGTCTTTTCTAATTGATAGTTGCCCAATGCACTTCATAAAACACCCTGTATAGGTTACTAATACATTTGCGCATAATCTTTCATATCTTGTTTTGCTCATATAAGACAATTATTAACAAACGGAAAATTTCTGTATATTGCGCAGGCGAAAGCGACAAAGATGGAGCATGGAATAATAGAGGCAAAAAGTGAAATGGCATGCAACCAAAGCGGGAGGATTTGTTTCAATAATAACTTGATGCGTTCAACTTAATATGCTGCTGCTTCCAACATTAGAACACACCATATCTTCCGTTTCCAACTTTACGAGCACATTCGAAAACAAATGAAGGAATGTTTGCAGGTTAATAGTGATAACATGGAGATGGTTTGTTTTTGTTCGAATGATTCGACAATCAACAAAACATTCTCGCATTTCATAACTTCCTTCTTCGTGCGCCAAATCTACGTAGGTAAAACAATACTTGTCATAACAGGGTCGTCGAAAAGAACCACGTAATGAAGAATTACAGGGCTATATGAGTGTATTGATTGTTCACGTGCTTTAATTATGTCTGTGTGTCACATTGAGAAGCTTTTTTAAACGAGCTACCTACATGATAAAGGACGACCCTTGTGTACGCACGATACATTCAGCTGAACAAAGTTAGTTGGCTGTTTTTTGATGCGACATGATTGACGGTCTAAGCGTGAATATTAGAATAAACTAACACAGATGATGTAATCTGCGTTGTGAGATTTTTTTTTTAATTTTACATATACTGACCCTTCAGGCATAGCATTTTTTGTGTAGGTTTGTATGAAATGTGTGGTTTTTAAGACCACTTTTTAAGATTGAATATGTCGGTCGATTACTATTATTGTGTCGGTGTCAATATTGTTTCTTGCCTGAAATGTGTAAAGCTTTGCCTATTTCTATGTTGTTGCTTAGTTCAGAATATAATTCTCGTGCGCTCTGCTAACTTTGGACGAAATACACATGTTTATTAGTACTGGCTATGTAAACGTCAGTACGTAACAACTAAAATTATGTTTTATACATGCAAGCCTCACGCGTGCAGCCTTGTATAAAATTTTCGACCGAACGCCAGCTAAGTTCGCCTTTCAAAATATGCACTACAGCTGTGAAACAAGCTCTCTGGAAAGCTTTCATTTCACATATTTTATTCCGAAAGCTTTTATTTCGGCACAAACATGGCACGGATAAGACGTGAAAATACTGCACGTAAAGTGATGCGAAACTATACTACTATCCGGATGTAACAACACTACCCGCGACGTGTGGCATATGGCTTGCTGCTTTGTAGTGCATAAGAAGTTTGTTTTTTGTAATGTCATTCGTTTGATTTTCTCACCTTTTTAAATTATTTATAATTTATCCGGGTAGCCAACATATGCGAGAATCGTCTCAGGCATTTCTCTTTTTTTTTTTGCGGGACTCCTCATTGGACTATCACGTCGTAACAAAACAGTAGGCCAGAATATTCATTCGAGAATCAGTACAAAAATTTGAGTAATTGTAAAGATCAGTTCTTATATGTTTCCAGAATTATGACGTCATATTCTCAACTAAAGTTACTCATACATCACACATGGAAAGTTCAATATTT